GGGGGGGGGGGGGTAGAAAGGGGGGTACAAATTTCAAGACAGCCTTCCAATAATTAGATTCTGTATGTGGAAGATTATAGCAAAAACTTATAAAAAGTTTTCTATATACAGAATTAGAGGTGCACCGATTTAAAAAAAAAAAAAAAGTTGGTTCATGCTGTATTAGCACCGATAAACGGAAGAAAATTGACATTAAAATCAGCAGTTGGCTTTTTTTGGCCAATGTGGCTGATAATGCCATGTGCATTATGTATAAAATACCCACATTTAAATTTCACCTCCTACCGTGCAGATAGCTTGTGTTAGATGCTTACATCCTTGACGACGAGCATTTAATGCATCAGCCCTTTGGAAGATAAAAAGGGTATTTTTAAAAGGGGAGTAGGAAGGGACTCCTAAAAAAAAGGTGAACAATTGGTACACTAAAAAGGAAAGACTTACTGTTTCCGATACCAGGAAAGGACTCCATGTTCTAGTACTACCCAATAAAGTTTCCAGCCAAAAAACCTTGAACTCTGGAAGGCAAAGTTAATAGTCATTTCACAGCCAACTGCTATTCTTAATAAATAAAATCAGGAGACTGATGGCTAAAAGTAGTACATTAAAGTAAGTGACTCCTTAAAATGCATCAAAGAATTGTAAATTATTAAGTCTGTTAAAGCTATTATAATAATTTAAATTAACATTCTTAAAAAGGAAATAAGTTTCTTAACAAAGTGTTCCTAAAAATAACCAGGTAAACTTAGACATATAAATTTTAATAAAGTCCTGCTGAAAACAGTTTAATTGGAATATTTCAACATTAGGGATATAGAATTTCATCATTTACAGTAGTCATTCAGATATCTGCTCCTTATTACTTAAGACGCCTTTATGAAGCTACTATAAAAATCTTTCTTTACACATGATCAAATTCAAACATTAGCCAGTTTTTTAAATGGGTATCAGAAGGTAGACAGTGTAAAGGGTTGTAAAGGGTTGCCAGACCGAACAGTAGCCTCTTCATACAGTATTTTTAAAATGACAGAAAAAGACCTGTACTTAATGGACTCCACTGTCCTTTTGGTTTAAGGCAAAACATGCAATTCATGTAGGAAGCTGGGACTAAACCATGTGTTGAATACTGGGCCTTCAATCTCCATCCACTATGGTCTACCAGACCCATCTACTACGGTCAGCTTTCCTACTTTGTGTTAAGGCAAAATATTTCCAAAATGGTTTTTGATCCACCAACTAGATCCAAGAAGTGTCAAAAGACATACCTTCCATAAGAGACCGTCATAACGTTTCAGGGGTTTGTTGATCACCTATAAAAAAAACCAACAACAACAAAAAAGTTTCTGTAAGCAAGCCCAACAGGATTTTTTTTGTTTTGTTAATAAAAAAAATCCACGTTGTTAGGATCCTTTGTACCCACCTTTCCAAGGTTACCTCTGAGAATCTGCTTCATTTCTGCACCCTGGGCTAGATCAAAAGGTGTCTGGTCTGTTCAATAACCAAAAAAAAAGCATGAGAGGTTTTTAGGTTTAGAAACCCCGCCCCCCCCCCCAAACCCAAG